GGCTCGAGCTTGGCTCGTTTCATAATCGAACCATTGAATTGGGCTCGAGATCGAGCTTGGCTTCAACCAAGCTGAGCTGAGCTTTTCATGAGCCGAGCTCGAGCAGCTCGTGAAAAGCTCAGCTTGTTGCCACCCCTACGTAGAGAAGGGTTAGAAGTTTCACCCCAATGGGCGAGTTTATGTTTGCTTGAGCAGTACATTTCCCTGTTAAATCCACCTGAAGTAGTGGTTGAAACTTTAGCTCTTAAGGAGGTCTCCTGTTAGTAGTTAATCTAGGCCTCTCTTCTTTCTGCATCGAAGGAGATGCTTAGTTAGTGATCTCAACCAAGTAGCTGTAGTACCCTAGCGTTTAAGCTCTATCATCGCCGATTGTTGGAGACTACTGAGCGAGTTTGATAATCCAATTATATCCTTCACCCCCCCCCCCCCCATACAGGAATTAGGGTTGCTCACTCCATTGCTAAATATGCTTGTAATATTTCGAGAATGCATACCTGGCCTATTGCCCCATCTTTTATTATGCATGTACTTCTAGAGGATAAGCAACAATGATTTTGCCTTCGGGCTTCTCAAAAAAAGCAGAAAAAAGTGAAAAATACCCCTCAAAACTAGTGGTCATAATGCTTGAATAGCCAATAAGATGTGAAGTTATGCTTGAATGGCCTAATCTCATATAATACATTTATGAATGCATAATTTTATGAGTGCCACCACATATCTATATCTATACTATATATAAAAGTGTGAATGTAGTGCAAAACTTTTTTTGAACTAAAATTACCCTCTATTTTCCTATTTGAGAAAGGGTATAAAAGATATTTTATTATAGCTTTAATGCCAACTTTAATGGCTAATAAAATTATCATATTTGTGTATTTAATCCATCTCTAATTGTAAGGGTTGAAAATGTAATTTCAATTATTACCTTCCACTTCATTTAATCCTCTCCCATTAAGTCTTATATTTAAGGTATTAGACCCATTTTCTCTTATTAAATCATATATTTTAAAGTTATTTTTCACTAATAAATGATAATAATAAGATCTATGTCAATATTTTTAACAATATAAACTCATATTTTAAAACTTACTCAGAAACAAAACCATTCTTTATACAAGTGGTGGCTAAGCAATTCAACCATTTGAATCAAATTGATCAACGTTTGAAGTCATAGTTAGGTAATAAAATTTTTAAAATAGAAATAAATATAGAAAATTACAAAAATATAGAAAAAATTAGACACATTTATGATATTTTTTTAATCAAATTAAAAAAAAAGTAATAAACAATACTTATTTTCATGATAATCAAAATGAAAACATAATTAAATATAAAAATTAATAATAAATAATTCAACTTTTGGGTTAAATGTGTTAACCTTTAATATCATAAATAAATAATAAAAATTAATAAAATATAAAAATACAAAATGAAAAATAGATAAATTTTGCAAAAAAAAGCATTCAGGCACATGTATAATATAATATATTTATCATACTAAACAAAAAAATAAGTGTAACATATCAGAATTATTTTTACATAAAAATATAGAAAAAAATTGAACGCATCTATAATTCTATATTTACACTACTACTAAAAATATGAATAAGATTGTGGAATGCTTTGGCTTCTGGTTTCGGGTCAACGGTTCAAATGCCTAATTTGAGTGGGTCAAACCGGTAAGATGTAAAAATATAATGTAACTTTTTATTTTGATAGTTAAATTAGACTTAGGTTAAAGTTCATCACATGGTTTTGAAAACTAGACTAGATCGGAAAAACTGGAAATAGGTAAGGTAACTCGTTTCGTTTCACCCTAAAACCACTTTTTGGCCAAAAACACTTGATTTGGTCGGTGACCTGTTGACCCAAGTGGTCGAAACATTAACTTGGAAGACAAATATTTTGGCTGTATTTTTCATTTTTTTTTTTGTTTTATAAGTCAAAACATGCCATCTGTTCAAACTGGACATTTCGACCTAGGAACTGGTTCCCAAAATAGTTCTTGTCTGGTTCAGCTTTAAAAACCTTGGTCCACCGTATATATACATTATTATGAGAGAGGAGTGTGAAATTTTAAGAATGAGGTGGCTGGTTAAAGCTAATAAGTGAGAAAAAAGAAGAAGAAGAAGAAGGAACTATTTGCCCTCTTCTTACATCTCTCCTCTCTTTAAATCTCTCACAAATCCCATATAGTTTGCTTCATTTATATATTAAATTTTTAATATAATATCGGTGTTTAATCTCTAATTTCTTGCATTGATTGTTTGAGAGTTGTAATTTTTTTGGTGTTACAACTTAAAAAGAAGGGCCCTAAAAATAATCACATAAATGAAAAAACTCAAAATCAAAATGGAAAAACTAAAAACCCTAACTAATTTTGGCCATTCGGAATAACTGAACAAGATTATGAGATATCAAGGTTTCTTTCTTCAATATTTTTATTTTTTTAATTTCCATTTTAAAATAAATAAAAATTTTGGAATTAGTTTGAAAGCAATCCGAGAACCATTAACAAGGTTAAACATTTTAACGGTTAAACTGCATGGGTCAACGGTTCTTTGACCATTTCAATGGCTTTTTTAAATAACAGTTCAAGGCCAAAACAGAACTGGTGACCTGACCGGTTCCTAGGCCAAACAATCTGACCATTTGATCTAGTCCAGTTTTTAAAATATATAGTTACTAAAATACCCAATTTTGAATTTATTCCCTATTTAATTATGTAAGAGTTAAATTGTAAATTGAACTACTACTTTTCACCTCATTCAATTCCCTATATTTAAATCTTACATGTTTTTTTATAAATAAACAAAAAAAGAAAGATACACCAAAAAGATAAAACACTACAAAAAGGCGAGTCTAGCCAAGTAGGTAGGCCTGTCAATGATACTTAAAAGTTTACAATTCGATCTGACTATCACGTATTTGGATGAGGTGTTTATGTAGTAAGATTTGGATTTTGCAATCAGATTTGTTTATGTATATAAACAAAAAATAAAATATAAAGTTTGTAGAAAATTTTGGATACATTATTATTATAATTATCATCATATAGAATTGCCACGTACAAAGCACGTGCACACTTACTAATATAGATATAAGTATTATTACAAATATTTAAACCTTTGCTCGTGCAAATACAAACAAAATAATAGAAAATACGAGGTTTTGCAATCTACATATTTTTATTTGTACTCCTTCCAAACTTAGGGCCTATTCGTTTGCTCTGAAGTGACATTTAAAAGTGCAATAATTACATTAAGAGGTATATTGGTGTTGGTGAACTTTTCTTTCCTTTGAATTCTGAATGTAGAAAATGTTGTGTTCTGAATTCTGAATTTTGAATTTTGAAAATTATCAAATATCCATTTTAACCCCATATATGAGAGTTTTTGTTTGTCTTTTTGGGGTATTATTGGAAAACAAAAAATTATAAGAGGAAATGAACAGCAATTTTTCTCTTAAAGTTAAAATATTCCTCTTAAGACATAAGAGTTAAGAGGAAACGAACATGCCCTTAGCCCTAGAAAAACATATGGTAATTTGTAAGTTGTAACCCATGACCCATTCATTGGGTCAAGTGAATTGATGGTACAACTGCTTTGGTTGGCAGGTTATTGACCAAGTCAACAATTTTTAAGTACAGGTTAGTTTGAGGCTAGCTTGAAATGAAATCATGATTGGATGACAAGTTAAATGGTCCAATTGGCTAGGTCAATCATCTGTTGAAAACAATGTGATAAAGTTTAAATCGTAGTATGCTTTATATGTTATGATCTTGGTACTCGTAAGTATGGAAATCTTGTACTAGTAAATGATATAGGAGCTGCTTGTGTGAAATTTGCTAGTGACAAACAAATAGACTAGCGTAGGGCTGTTCATCAAACCAATGAAAACAACCAAACTAACCAATCCAAGTTGGTTAGTTTTCTAGAATTTTCAGTTAGCTTTGGTTCACAATTTTCCCAACTTGATCAGGTTGGGTTGGTTTTGGTTTGATTGTTTGTAAATTGATCAAAACAACTTGATATATATATATATATTATTAGTATTTTATATTTTAAATTTAACTTTTTAATATGGAAAAGTGGGAAAATTACTATATTTTGTAGTCTATAATATTTTATATTGTAAATTTAAAAATTTTAACCTAATTTTTAATAATACCGTTATAGTTTTTTAAATTTAAATTTAATTTTTTTTAATTCAAATCTTTTGAACCAACCAACCAAACCAAAAGTCCACCAAAATCAATACAACCCGAATTGGTTGATTTTCATTAATGATTTATCGGTTTTGGATGATCAACTCTCTAATCCAACTAGGTTGGTTTGATTGGCCACACAACTTGCAATCGAACTGAAACGACCAATGAACACCCATAGAATAGGGGTTTATTTGGATTTTGTCAATTTTACAAATGGAGACTGGATCTGTTCCTCACGTAGGGCGCCTCACACCGATCTCACACGCACATCTTACCATGTATTGGGAACATCTCCCATACTTATAAGTTATTATTCATGGGAACATCTCCCATACTTATAAATTATTATTTACGGGAGATGTTCCCAATGCACGGTGAATGTGCCTGTGTGAGGAGCAGATGCCGTTCCCTACAAATGACAAATTACAACGTGGGTGTTTATTTTTCCTAGTTGGTCAAATTTTGGATAGGATTGTATATAATTCCACAATTTGGCTTCGTGACCCATCAACCACACGTTTGTTTGATTTCAATCAGGAAGAAATCGGATGGTCCCTTTAGTCCGTCTCCACCATCTGGTGCTAATGCTGCATGCCTGTATCTCTCTGTGCGTCCAGCAAGCAACATGTGGTTGAGAGTGAGTTCTGGGATCGCAAATGGGTCGGTTCGAGTTACTGAGTGCACTTGGAACCGATGAAACTTCATCCGGCTTAACCGCTTAAACCTGGTTAATAGTAGGTTCTATGAAAGACTGAAAAGTCTAATACAGAAAAATCCAGACATGGTATCAGAGAATCAAACGGTCAGAATTCAGACATCATACTTTGATTTTCTCTCTAATTCCAGGCTTTCCAGCTTCATTCTTTGACCGCCGTGTTCTCTCTTCTTCAGTTCTGCCCACGAGAAGAGCCATTCAGATACCTCCCATCTATGGCTTCCTCTGCAATTGCTTCAAGCTCAACTTATTTATTCAAAAAGGTTCTTCCTCTCTCTCTCTCTCTCTTACCATATGTTCTTTAAATTTATTTCTCCTTTCCTATTTTTACATGGGATTTTGGAAGTCTATGCCTGATAGTTATTTGATTTCAGAAAGAAGTGGGTCTATCTTCTTTTACTTCACTTCCGCTCTACATTCAGAAATGCAAGAGAAAGGGTTCTACGAAAGTTGTCGCAGTCATGGCGCCTCCCCAATCACAGAGGCCACCTTCGACCACTGGCTCGGTTGGGTTTCTTATACCCTTCTGCTCCTTTATCTTCAACTCCATAATTTTATTGTCTGTTCATTATTAAATTCTTCTTTTTTTTTTCGGTTTTTAAATTGATTGCAGGTGAAAAACGCCATGACAATGACAGAGAAGATCTTAGCTAGGGCATCCGAGAAGACCCAATTGAGCTCAGGAGAGAATATCTGGGTTAATGTGGATGTCTTGATGACACATGATGTCTGTGGGCCGGGGACGATCGGAATCTTCAAAAGAGAGTTTGGCGAGGATGCGAAGGTATGCAGTCATTACAGATCAATCTCTTTAGGCAAAATGTAAATTGTAGCAGTTTTCTTACTCAAGTTGTTGATGAATTGAGATTTTATCTTTCCATTAATTATTTGTTTAAATTGATGAATATTCTCATTGTTTCCATGGTAATCAGTAATCTGATTAATGTTAATAACTTCATAATGTTTTTTTTTTTGTTTTTGGTTTTCTCAGTTTTTATATATGCTGTGACTTGAGTTCGTCGGATTATACACTATCTTTGAGCTAATAAGTTGTGTTCTTGATTCAAAATGAAAGGTTTGGGATCGTGAAAAGATTGTCATTATACCTGACCATTATATATTCACTAGTGATGAACGTGCAAATCGTAATGTGGATATCTTGAGGGATTTCTGCTTGGAGCAAAATATCAAGTACTTCTATGACATCAAGGATCTCAGTAACTTCAAGGCATGGCTCTCTATCATTCCCTGTTTTTCTTTTAGGCTACATTTGAATCTAAAATGGAAGGAAAAAATTTCAGGCTGAAATATTTGAGCTATATTTTTGGTCCTTTTACAATGAAACAAATTATAAAGGAAGGATGGAAACAAAGCTGAAATAATGACTTAAATATTTCAGCTTAAAAATAATCTGCATCCATTTTATGAAGAGACAATGCAGCCCTAGGCAAACTCTTTCCTAGTGAACAGCTTCCCCTTTACATTGAGCTTCATGTTCTTTAATGATTTTGTAGGTGAATCCAGATTATAAAGGTGTATGCCATGTAGCTCTTGCACAAGAAGGTCATTGCAGGCCAGGGGAGGTGAACCTTTTTTTACCAGTCACCAAAAATTAATTATTTATGGATGTATTGCTGTCCTTCGCCATTGTTTTACACTTTTAAAACATCTATCAGGTCCTTCTGGGTACAGACTCCCATACTTGCAATGCTGGAGCATTTGGACAGTTTGCTACTGGAATTGGCAACACTGATGCAGGTTTTGTGATGGGAACTGGGAAACTCCTTCTTAAGGTCTGCAAATACTTACTTTTCTGTCCTCTAGCATCTCATTTCCTTGAAGTTACTAATAGGCCATTACCCAATGTTGGTCCGGTCCCTGTAGACCAAGGAAAATGGACAATAATTGTTCCTTAATAGTTTTTTTTTAACCCATATTTTAAATCTTTTATTCATTTATTTTGTGTCAATTATTTCCTTTCAATTGCACCATTACATTTCCTTCTCCTTTCTTCTTTTTGAGAGAAAGTATTGTATTCGTAAAGAACTTAAAAGCACCATTTACAACTCACGTATGAGACACTATACAGAGACCATTCTGGCCCAACATGGCAACAATTGCCAAAGACATAACCATCAAGGGAACAATGTCCTGGTCTCAAAAAGGGCATGGTGTGGAGTACCTTTGAATCAATCCTGTACAGACAGGCATAAGTGCTTGGATCCCATCGTTCTTCTAATCAGTTCCTCAACCGGCCTCCTTTTGTCTTCAATATATCTGAGATTTCTTTTTTGCTTTCCCTCTTCTTTGATAAATGAATAAATTTTATTAAAGATCAAAGAATATGATACTGTTAAAGAAGACCAGAGTTTTGAGGTAGGGCTCTAAGACAGAAGTACAAAAAAAGGTTCAGTCAACAGAGCAATGCTGTTTCAGAAGGGAGGATTCCTTGAACAACTCACATCTCCAATCCCTTCCCTAGCCAACTTATCAGTATAGAATTGCCTTTAGGCCAAGGCTCCAGAGTCCTTAAGAATGTACCTCAATGGGCAGAGCCCATCTAGCTGTCTGGGCCATCAACTAGTCACAATTAGGACCCCTCCCCCCAACATATGTTGCTCATGGCATAAGCAGGAGTGTGTTCAGGCCCTTCAGGGTGGTCCATTCCCCCAAAGCTTCACCAACAACTAGTCACAGAATCCATAGCAATGCCTTTGAACCAGTTTTGCAAGGACATTTCTAAGTGTATGAAATGTCTGTCTTAAATGTGTCAAATTCATTCACTGTACATAAGGTAGTCTATGTTCTTGTAAAACATTACTGAGTAACAAAGACAACATTTTAGATGTTTTTATATGTATAATCTATATAATATTAGGATTCAAAAAAAATATTAACTATTTTAATAGTATATACTTTTCTGTAGATGTGTAGCAAACACTGGCTGAGGGTTGACATTTTTCATCTTGCCATGTCAGACTCTTCAGCACATTTTAGATAGTTAGATTCCAAATCTTGTGTCCATGACTATGCAAAGTTTCTTTGAATTCATCTCTTGTCAATATCTATTGGGCCTTTATAATAGTAACAAGGTCAATGATAATTCCTAGAGGTTTGGTATGGTATAAACAATAATAGCTCTGGTGATCCTTCACATAATTCATTTCTCTTGGTCTGTGGTGTGGAAAGGACCATCTTCAAACAGGCTTAGGATGTTTGCGGGGAGAAGTCACCTGGTTCCAAACAGAGATCTATAATGCTTCCATATCCTGGCAGTAAACTCAAATACATGAGAAGATGATTAACTGACTCTTGACTTGCCTCAAACCTACCCTCTTTTCTTAATTTGCTGTGTGGTGGTGGAGAAGAAGCCAATACATATAAAACTGGTAAAGAGGGCTACTTTTTAGGGTCGCAGAACTAATAGCCACCATGAAGGAAATTATCAATTTTCCCTTCAAAAGGAGAATCACATCTTTTCAAATTCTATTGGTTTCAAACTTTTACTCCTTCCACGCATCATCACTGATAGACAAACTAATTTGGTCCCAATAATAATTAATTCTATTAAACCACTGACTTCTCTCATACCTAAAAAGGATCCAACCCCAATTTCACTAGGCTTTAAATCTCTTGATCATTAATCCTTACACTTTGCTAATGTTTTTCCTTCGTCATCCATTGATTATGCTATTGAAAGAATTTTACATACCATCTTCTTCTTTAATCCAACTAAAACTTGACTTTTGTCTAAAAAATTATCTCATCCCTCCTTAAAATTTTCTCATAGTTGGTCTCTAGCCTACTACTGAGCAATATTCTTCTTCAGCCATGTTCCTGCCTTTGGCCTTCCTCTACTTTATATAGAGAGTCATGATTCCTACTTTTAAGTTTCAATTGTATACGATCAAGATTATTTCCTTTTACTTTTCTGATCTATAATCAATATATTTAAGACTTTCCATGAATTGAAAAACTGGCCACCCTTCTATTGGTATTTCCTCCCATTATGATCTAATATTTTGACCAAAAGAATGGTGAGGCAGTTGCATAATCCGATATTCTCGTATCTGAAGAGAGTTGAGCCATGCCTGAGGTCATTTGGAAGTAATGAGGAGTGGTGGTCTTTGAGCCTAGTCAACACTGATTAAGTCATTCCTCCAAAGCTTATATTATAAAGTGGGCATAGGGATGGAAGGGTTTTGTAAATTCTAGACCCTACTTGCCTCCCTAAACCTCCTAATCCGTATCCTCCCCAAAACCCGTAGTGGGTTGGGTTTTCATAGTCCAAACCATCCCCACACATGAAAATGCAAAACCCTCACCTATCCTACCCTCCCCGCATTTGAGTGTGGGGTGGGTTGGGTCCAAAACCCGCATCTAATTTCCTATCATTTTATGTTATATATAAGCAATAAACAAATAAAATAACATGAACAAACATCAAAATTTCTAATTATTTGATTAAAACATGTAGAAAAGACATAACGATCAATTATCCTTAACATAAAAGTCGAAATATTATTAAATTCAACACCTAATACCTAAGTTCATTGCTTTTCAACAATTTGCAGGTTGGGGAGAGTTGGGTTTAGCCTAAAACTGTACCCTACCCATATCTGGGTTGTAAAATCCCAAAACCCGTCCCCACCCCAAAATCCCTTTTTCAAGCAAAAAAATCCGCCCCGTCGGGGTGGGTACCCACCGGGTAGGGTAGAAATTGCCATCCCTAAGTGGGTAGATTTGCAAATACATGATTAATTTGCATACTGAGCCATGTCAAATTAGCATTATGAAGTAATCTCATGATTTCATTTAGAAAATGGTTAGACTAAGGTGGCGCTTGATAAATCTGAAACTTCAGATCTGAAAAGTTAAAAAGGTATTTTTTGTGTCTGAAATCTGAAAAGAAGTATATGTGCTTTTTTACTTTTTAGAGGCTCTGAATCCACAAGTTTGTTTGTGTTGGATTAATCCTTTACCATCTGAAATTTACTGATTTTACTATTTTACTCCTAGAACATACTATTTGGAAATGTTGAGTTCCCTTTGCATTATCTCATAAAAAATAATTTTCAACTTCAAAATAACATTGAAACAATACAGATAATAAATAATAAATTAATAATTACTAATTATTAATTAATAAATGAAACGATTAAAATTTAAAAATAATTAATGACTATAAAAATATTAAAATAATTAATAATTAATAATTTACACAAATAAAAATTAAAATAATTTTTAAAAATTAATGAAATAATTAAAAATAACTAGTTAATAAAAATAATTAATAATTTGTAATGTTTAATAAAAAAATTAGTGTTTAACAAAAAATATTAAAATAATTAATAATTAATAAAAATAATTTATAATTAATAATAATATTATTATTACTACTCAACGAATTGCCGCTGCAAGTTGTAGCGGCGGTGGCGAGAAGATAGGAGGGAGGGAGAGAGAGAGAGAGAGAAGGAACCGCCACCGTTGCAACTTGCAGCGGCAGTGGCGGGAAGACAGGAGAGAGAGAGAGAGAGAGAGCCGCTGCAATGCAGCGGTGGTGGCGGGAATACAGGAGAGAGAGAGACAGAGAGACAGAGATAGTGCAACGGCGGTGGAGCTTCGTTAGGTTGCAGTGAGGGTTCGATTCGAGTTACATGAAGGACAAAAACATGTAATATTAAAATTTCTTTGAGGGCATTTATATCTTTTACGCACCTCTGAATTACGTCTGAGCGCATTAAGCAGCCTTTCCACCTCTTAGAAATTAAGATATGAAATCCAATTTCAGATCTGTAATAAGAGGGCATACCAAACGAAGATGGCGTCTGAAAAGTAATGTTTTTAGATTCAGACATCTGAAAAGTGCAATCAAACACCACCTAATTCATGTTTTTTCTTTTTGCTCCTATTACCTTTCATAAGTAAAACAAACAATGTTAAAGCTGCTCCTTGCTAATCAACATGGAAGCCTCTATTATTGTATAGTTCTGTACAAGTTGGGTCTGATCTATTAATTAGAAAATCGTTAAAACTATCCAATTTATTCTTTAGAGTCAAGTAATAAATCTTCCAAGTACTTCCAACAGGTATTCTGGTCATTCTTTTTCCAAACAGCGATGAGTAGTCATTCTGGAACACTGAAAGATAGATTACAAGATGCCCAGATGTCCCTAGACCAACTAATATCCATTCCAGGAAAAGAAACATATTGGGTTCTTCAATTAAGAGTCCCTTGTTCCTAGCCTTTGGAGATTATATTACCAAAATTGAGGCAAGATCATTGGCATCTAGAGTGAGCCGCTACTTCCATTGGGTTCCATGATCAGCCAATTCATTTGTGGGTAATATTACAATGGAAAGAGCATTGAGGAGTAATACATTTTGGGGCTTTTCATTACCGAGTTTAGGCTTTCTTTATGCATGATTTTGTACGGGGGCCTATTTAGTTCTTTTTAGGATTTGTGATTACTCATAGTTCCATCTACCATCTTGCATATCATTGTCATCATCTAAGCCTTGTCCTAATGATATAGGGTTGGCTACATGAATCTTGTTTTGCCATTCCTTTCTGTTTAGTGCCATATGTTAGTATATAACTATATATACTCCATTCTTACCATAAAAAAAGTAATTACTATCTACATCTTAAAGGTGTTGCAGAAATTTTATTCTCAATAGAAGAGGCTATTTGTGTGGTGGAAGCGGACTCTGAAGCCGTAATGGCCTAGTGTGATGGCATAGAAATTCTAGTCAGCCTACATGACAATATAGAAATGTAATGAGAGAGATAAGATATCTGGGCAGGGAACTAGTAACCTTGTCTGACACTGCCTAAAAGGGGTGTACAAGGATCAACTTTTTGGTGACGATTTTAAAATGATTACTTGTAAAAGGGGGAAGGGTGAGGTAGCAGCTGCTGACCTATATCTTGGGTTGCTTGGCACATGCTGTACTTGTATTAGTATTTTACAATTAATAAAATTTCAACTGTATCATTTAAAAAATAGAAGAGCGTATTTGTTAGTAGACTTGGATATGGATGTTTTCTCTACTGTTTAATCAGCTACTTGTAATTTTTTACATGTTCAAATTGCAGGTTCCCCCAACAATGAGATTTGTAATGGATGGTGAAATGCCCAATTATTTGCTTGCCAAGGACTTAATTTTGCAAGTAAGTCAGCAGTTCTAAGATATGAGTTCTTTGAGTTCTGGTAATCTTTCATTAATCTTTTTTTAATTAATGAAAGTCACTGTCTCCAATAAAAAAAAAGAAACAAAAATTTCTGGTAATCTTTTCCCCATAGTTCTCAAGGTGTTGCCTAGGCAACTGGGTGCCCTTGGTTGAGTGCCTTGCCATAATGCCTCGACTTATAGCAACAAGGTGCCGGTTTAGGTGACTATGAACCCACCTAGGTGACAAAAATTACAAGGCAGATGCCTTGTTATAATATCATTGCTTTGGTTGCATCTTACCGATATGTGTGTCAATACATTCTATTATATACTCTATATATTTTATACTTCATTTTAAAGTTTTACCATTGACATTTAAAAGATCCAAGGGTTTTGAGAAGACAAAAAGAAAGAAAGAAGAGAGAAGGATAAAGAGTTGTTTTCCTTTTCTTTCTATTTTCGCTCTTTCTTTCTCTCCCTTACATTAAATAAAACATCAGCTTCACCCTTATTCTTTTTCTCTTTCACTGGCTCTCTAAAATTTTCATCATAAATTATTGCCTTCTTTGGTTACTAATTTGATATGAAATTTCTCTATTAGATACTTATTATATTACTACTATTATTTATTTATCAAAAAAATCATATTACTATTATTTTTGAAAATATTGAATTAATATATTTAAAACACTATTATCTTTTAGATTTGATGATTTGCATTGTTTCAAGAGTAAATTAAATGTTCTTAATCAAGAGAAACGGTTCTTTTTTTCCAATTAGTATGCATGTTGATTGGTATATAAAATTAGGGAGCTAACCAAAGTTTAGTTTTTTATTTTATAAAATTCTTATTACTTAGGCAAGTAGGCATCCCACTCTCACTAAGAATTGTCTAGACACCTTTATGTAATGGAGTTTATTTTGCAGATTATTGGTGAAATAACTGTCTCTGGTGCAACATATAAGTCCATGGAGTTTGTTGGCTCTACAGTTGAAAGCTTAACTGTAGGTACCCTATGATTTTGTGGCACATATCTTTTTCATTATACTTATTAAGCATGGATTTTTAATTGGTTTTTCTTTCTCTCCACCCAAAAGATGGAAGAAAGGATGACATTGTGTAACATGGTTGTGGAAGCTGGGGGAAAGAATGGTGTTGTTCCTGTTGATAGTACCACATATAAGTACCTTGAGGTTAGTGCAATTGGTTCATCGAGTATTTATGGATTGACAATATTATTTTTTGAACTAATATATGTATTTGATCCTGTGATGCAATAGTTGGTTTTCCTTTCTTTTTATGCATGATGAAATACATTTAGTGGTTTAATCTTGCACTGATGTTGTTCTGCACAGGGTAAGACATCAGTGGCCTTTGAACCAGTTTACAGTGATGAGAATGCAAGGTAAACCAAAAAATGTTCTTTAGTTTGTCATTTATTTTATTCTTCATGGGTACTAGTTTCTCTTCTTTCCATAGTACCAGAAACCCAAAGAGTAGCAAGGAATGAGCATTTCATGGTGCTTCACCTCTTTCTAGGAGTGGCCTTCACTTTGCTAGAGCAACTTTTGGATGCCCTTAAGATTGACCCAAGGAATGCCAACCATAAAGAAAGTAATTCCAAATTGTCAAAGTTACTTGCTGTGAATGTTTCAAACTTATTTTGACAAGAAATTTTGAAATATAGAATCCCTTGCCCCCCGCCCCCCTCCCAGTGAAGCATTCAGGAATCAAGAGGGGCAGGGGAGTCTAGGACTTTAGAGTTCAGATTAGTGACAATGCTCTAGAAAGGAATCAAGATGGGTAATAATGAACATAAATGTCTATCTAGTTAATCATCAAACCATGGTGATGATTGATTGTGGAGGAATTACACACAAACTACCAACTTCCAGATTCAAGCATATGTATTTCAGAGAAGAGGGCTACATTGATCTACTGGAGCATTGGTGAGGTGCAATGCAATCTCAAAGTTCTGCTAGCTATAATATTTTCAAAAATCTCATAGGGTTGAAAGAAAGAATCAAAAGGTGAAGAATAAATGTTCAGAACAGTTGAAATTAAAAAGCAAAATGCTTCATCTCCATGGTTGAAGTGGACAGGGATGAAGAAAGGGAATAGATCAATGATGAATCAGATAAATAATGGTAAAAGTAAAGCAGGGATTTGATAAATTATCCTACCAAGAGGAGGTGAAATGGAGGCGGCATTTCAGAAACCTATTGCTTAGAGAAGGCAGCAACAATACTAGATTCTTCCACAAAATGGCCAATGCAATACATAGAGAGAACAACATCAAAAGATTAGTTGTCAATGGATTACTGCTTGAAGAAGGTAACAGAATCAAGGATGCAATTGTTGACTTTTACTCCAATCTATACAAAGACCATTGGAACAGAATGCCCCTACTAGGTGTGTATTTTGATAAAATTTCAGATGAAGCTTCTGACACTGTAGAGCTTGAGAAAATTTTCTCAGTACTTGGTGCATAAAAGGAAAGGAATAGTGGTAAGGCTCCTGGCCCTGATGAATTCATGATGATCTTCTATAAGAAGTGTTTGCACTTCTATAACTGTTTGAAGAATTTCATCACAATGCATCCCTGGAAAGAAAGTTTAAATTTGACTTTGTTAACTCTTGCGCTGAAAAAAGGATCTAGGGAGCTGAAAGACTACTGGCTGCTCTGCTTAATTAGGAGTGTATAAAAAATTGTTTCGAAAGTGCTAGCAAACAGAATGAAAAGACATTAAACTCAATCATCTCTATTAAGGGGAATTTGTTGAAGGCAGATGGATAACTGATGTTTTGGTTGCAAATGTATTTATAGACTCCAGGAAAAGCAGTGGGCAGGAAGTTGCAATATGTAAGATTGATATGGAGAAAGCATTTGATCACATGAACTAGAATTTTCTGGATTACATGATCATGAGAATGAATTTTGGGCACAGGTAGAGAGCTTGAATGAAGGTGTATTACAACTCTGACCTTCTCAATTCTTTTATAACAGTTCTCCACATGTCAAGTTTTTCAGCATTAGGCGATTGAGACAAAGTGATCCTCTATCCCCCCTACTATTAATTTTGCCATAGAAGTCTTAAGTAAGCTAACTAGAAGAGCTGTTGATTGTTGTTCTCTAGAAGGCTTTCAAGGGAGCTCTTCCTAAGAACCTATAGCTTTGCATTGGTTTTGTCAATGAATGGGATCCTCTATCCCCCTACTATTCATTTATGTCATAGAAGCCTTAAGTAGACTATTCAGTTCACCTGTTGGATTATCTCCTTGAATTGATGGTGCTATCTGACCAAGCTGGGGTGGTTGTGGCTGTTAATTGTGTTCATTTGCATTGACACATTGTTAAGTGTTTGGGTATTGACAGGGTGTGGTTCCTTTTTATTGTTACTCTTTGCTCAACTAATATTCAATCTTCATTGATTTGTTTTTTTCCTTTTCTCCTCTTTTGTCCACTAATCTTTGTAGATGTAAATCAGTCCTCTAATATCAAGATTAAATTTAGTGATTAACAGAATAGAACAGATCTGAATAACTGTATAAGAGAGGAAGATGGCGAAGAGAAGATGTAAGAGAAGAAGTCGAATTAATTACCCTTCTCCTCTAACCCTATTTTTTATTAATCTCTAAAAAATTGATGATGACAAGTATACCCTTAAGTGGCGGCCAGCTTGGCAGTTACATAAAGAAAGTAAAATAAGAACAAATAACAGGCCCATTAAGTGAGGCCCATCAACATAAAATAAAAGATAAAATAAAGGATATCACATGAGAGGCTGTTAGGGCCCATTC